TCTTTAGTTTTCTTCTCCAGCTCCTCCTTCTCTTTCTATAGCTGGTCACACTGCCTCTGCAAGAGGGAGCGCTCCTTCACGCTATCCATGAACTCTTGGGCTAGACCATTCACCCAGCTCGCGCTCTGCAAATCAAAGTAGAAGTTAAGAGAAAAAGAAGAGAAGAAGAAAGAGATTAAACAAACAACACCAATAACTCAACATACCTCTAAAACGTGCTTCACCACTGAAGCCCCACAATACCTCAGAGCCTCATCCCGCGCGTTGCGTTTGTCCACTTCGGGGAAGGTGGTGTTGATGAACCAACTAGCCCCCGTCATGTTCTTCGCCTCGAACAGGCTGCTCTGAAACGCCATCAGGGGAATAGGGCCCTTTCCCTTACCGGGAGCTTGTACCTCAGCCCCCTCCTCCAACTGTCTGAGCTCATGGTCTAGCTCAACAAGAGGAGGTTGAGGTACGAACTAGGGAACCTTGCTCCCCCTCTCCTCTTCCTCCACCACCTTCTTCTTCTTTTGTAGTGCCCTCCTCTCCTCCCAACCCTTCCTCTTCAACTGTGGCACCTCCTCATCTGCCTCAGCTGAAGTAGTGGGCACTACCTCCTTCCCAACCCTCTCCTCATCCACTTGCTTGGTTGAAGTCTTTGACTTCTTCCTTGGCTTCTTGGGGATGGCCACTCCTCCAGCAGTGTTCAAAAATTTATCCATTTCAGCTGCAAAGTAAGAAAACACAATATTAATACACAGTTCTATATTCTATATTCAATACTACAATGCAAATTAAACAAACCTTCACTTAAAGTGCTTGGCCCATAAAGCTTAGCAGCTTCTATGCATTGTGCGCTAGTGAGGTCCATGATGTTCAGTAAATCCCCCCCTTCCTCACCAGCTTCCCCACTTCTTCCTCCTCATCCTTGTTTAAACTAAATTTATTCTGGTTGGCTCTTTTAGCCTTCCAGGATGCTAACTCCCTCACCTCAGCATTCCCCCTCTCCCACTCCGTATCATCTACAAAAAAGAATTTCTCCTTCCATCCTTTAATGGATGAAGGACCCACCGTAAACAACGCCCTACTCTCCTTATTTGCTACCCTAGGGGTGAAATAATACCACCCCTTATCCTTCCTACTACCCCCCTTTAAAACAAAAAAGTATTTAAACATATTTACGGTTGGCACACTAATCATTTGAGCTCGGCAATAAACTAAAAATCCTATTATTACCCTCATAGCGTTGGGGACTAACTGTGTCAACCCTATACCATAATCTAGTAGCAAACCTACTAGTAACTCAGGAATTGGAAACCTAAGCCCAGCAATTAAATAATGGGCATATACAGGCATCCAATGATCCCGAGGAGCAGAACACGCTTTCTCCTCTACCCCAGCTGGCTTAACTAACACTCGGGAAGAGATCTCGTAATTCTCCACTAAGTGACCCAGGCTATCCTTGGTCCCAAGTTCAGATCGGTACTGCTTCACCTCCTCCACTATATCTGCATCTATTTCATACCCCCTTTCTCCCCTACCCTCTACTTCTACCACGGTGATAAGCACACTATCTCCCTCAACCCCCACCATCTCATTCCCCCTAACCTCCACCACCTCATCTCCTCTCACCCCCACCACCGTTTTCTCCAAACTAGATGGAGATGGACTACTCTCCGAGTCCATGCTCCCATAGTCCAGGGGCATCACCTCACTCCCTACTAGACTTACTGTTTCTTCTGAAGACATTTTCTCAATCTCTTCATGAAGTAGGGGGGAAGAATGAAGTCAAGACCTCTTTAAAAAAAAAAAAAAAAACCCCTATTGCACATTCAAAATCATTCTCACTTCTAACCCTAACTTCCTTCAAAGGACTCTAAATCAACCATAGAAAGGGAGAAAAGAGAGTGACACTTTGACTAAACCAAAATCAGAGGTTCATATACATTACCTGATTTCAGTTCTGAAAGCTTGATGTAGAAATCCCCAAATGATGCAGCAATTCACGCGCATGAAACACACAATAAAGCTTTTCGCAGAAGTTTTGCAGAAAAAGAAATGCAAGTAAACCTCTTTCTGCAAAAAAAAAAAAAGGCCAATTTATACCTTTGGGCAAAATTAGATCTCAACGGCTGGGATTCGTTTAATCTAACGGTTCCTATTGGCATCGTTTGGAATACGACGGCCAACCCTAAACGGCACCGTTTTGAACTCGACGGTTCGTTTTTAATTCTGCCCATTTAACTGTTGCAATTATCTTTTTACAACCGCATTTATTGCGCACGTCATTCAAAGGACAACTGTCACACCACGCACTACCCCTTTGTTAGACTTCTCAAACGGGCCCACTTAAACCCATTTCAACACTCTCGCTTACTTTAACACATTCTCAATTTTTGCAAGTGTTTCACTTCAGCTCCGGCCACAACAATCCTACATTACACATTTCACTTCGGCTACTGCCATAGTGACCCAGTGTCACATGCTTTACTTCGGCTCCAGCCATTATGACTCTGGTCATTATATTTTATCACGGCTCTAGCCATTATGACTACGGTCTTTACAGTTTATCGCGGCTCCGACCATTATGACTCCGGTCATCATTTTTTATCACGACTCTGGTTACATTGTGACTCCGGTCATCACTTCTTATTACGGCTCCGGCCACCATGACCCCGGTCATCATCTTTTACTATGGCTACGACCACATTAACTCCGGTCATTATTTTTACCACGGCCACGGCCATGATCACTCCGGTCATATTCTATTTAAGGCACCCCCAGTATGACCCACTATTACATACTTCATTATTAGCTACGGCTCTGTATGCATTTGAGTTACAGATTTTATTTCTTCCTTTGACTTCCATGACTTATCCATATTCTCTTT